AGGTGAGAGCCGTCCCATCTCCGCCGCCCGCCGCCGCTGCTCCTGCAGTTCCTCTTCCCTCTGCAAGTCGCTCCGGATCTCCTCCTCGATCAGCGACGACGTCTGGGGCTTCCAGGTCCTCACCTTGTACTGCTCCTCCCGGCTGTCCTCCCTCCTTAGCGGGTTCTGTGTCCCCATGTTGTCCACGAAGGAGATCTTGGGCTTCCAGAAGGAGAAGGAGAAATACTCTCTGGGCAGGACAGCCGTGCCGGCGGGGCTCAGGGTGGAGCTGGGAAGCCTTCCTCCCCAGGAATCCTCACTCTTCCATTTGCTGGCGCTGGCGGAAACGTGCTGGGACACCAGAGGCTGGGCCCGGGTCTTCTCGCCAGAGGCTGGTCCCGGCTCTTCTCGCTGGCGGCAAAGCGCGGCTGGGACGCCTGCAAGTGCGTGATGTTCACTGCGTAGCTGGGAAGGGTTCTCCCACCCCTGGTGTCTTCTGCAGGGTGGGGGCTGCGGCTCGTGGGCTGCTCCACTGCAAACTCATTAATCCAGCTCCTCCGCTCGTCTGCCTTCCTCGTGGGGGTGGGCTTCTGCGGGGGGGCTTCCTCCTGCTCGAACACCCTCCTGCGTTCATCCAACTCCTGCTGCGTCCCCCTGTCGTACGTCCCCAGCAGCCTCCCTTGCCTCTTCAGATCTTCCTCGCGCTTGGTTTCCTGCTCGATTTCCCTCTGGACGTAAAGGGAAGCACGGCCTTTGTCCTTCCCTTTCCTGCCTGGGCCTGGAGAGGTATGTATGGAGAGGAGAGGCTTGGTCTGGATCTCTACCAGCTCGCTGCTGGAGGTCAGGCGCTGGATCCCCCTCTCCTTATAGAGGTTCTCCTCCCTCTCCATCGCCATGCGGATCTCCCGCTCAATGGGCGTCTCATTGCTGATCTTCATATCCTTGTCCAGGCTGCTGGCCCTCGGATCCCCAAGGCCATTGAAGATCTCATTGGATGCGCTTCCGTTGCTGGTGTTTGTGGCTTTGTTATACATCTCACCTGAGCCGGAGTCCAAGTCCTCTCTGGAAGATGCTTTAGTCAAGCTGAATGTTTTCCCAGTGGGGTGTGACCTTTCAATATCAGCCCTTCTGGGAGCATAAACCTCCTCCTTCACCGGTGTCTTGTAGGACACACTGGAAACCTGATAAACGGTCTTGTCCATCCTGCTCTGGCCGGATGCACCGGCATTACCATAATCTCTTGCAGCCTTCACGGCCATCTCAGGACTGGACCACTCTTGCCTAGAGATCTTTGTCATTGACTCTGGATTTGGAGACATGGCCTGTTGCCCTGGGCTGAAGAAAGAGCCTGGGTTAGTCTTTTCCAGCATCAGGAACTGCTGCCGGGCAGTGGAGAAGTCAATCTGCTCCGTGTCGATATTTTCAGGGTCAACAGACGTCGGTGCCCTCCCCGAGGAAGGCTTGTCAAAGCAAATGGCGAAGCTGGTGGTGAAGCTGCCCACGTGCTTGCCTTCACCCTGGCCGCCTGTGCCGGCACTTATAGAGCTCAGCTCATCCATGGAGCTCCACCTCTCGGCCACGGTGGAGCTCTTCCTCACCACCTGGCTCCGAATGATCTCCCTCCTCTCGTCCTCGAGCTCCCTGGCTTTCTCGGGTGAGATGTTCGGTGGAGGGACCCTGTACCATTACTGCTCATCCTCATCGTAAAGCTTCGAGGGCTTCCTCTCACCTTTGTAAGCCCTGAGATCGTACAGGCTTTCTGACCTCACCACCTCCAGTTTGGACTCCCTGTCTGGGGACGGAGTCCAGACATCTTTTTCACCATCCAGGAAACACGAGACTGACTTTGCCCTCCTTTTCCAGCCATAGCCGTTTTCCACCCTCTGGCTGCTGTGTTGAGTGGAGCCAAACATGTCGTCATCGCTGTCGATCCTCTGCTCTGCAAACCAGCCAGCTTGGTGAGCATCGTTATAGTCGTGCTTGTGCGAGGTCTGGGGGAGTTGGAAGACCAGGTGCCGGGTGACTCTGTCCATCTCCTGGGAAGAGTCAGCATTCAACCCTCTACCAACCTTGCCCTGGACTGGGGATGCCGCTCAGCTTCGAGGTCGCCCTCGGGCTCCTGGCTCACGTGAGGATGAGGAGCAGAACCTGGCTGTTCCTGCAAGCAGGAGGGGAGAGAGGCTGTTAGGAGCAGCAGAAGGAGCAGAAGTCGGGGGCGTGCAGCTCCCTCTCCCAGCCTGGTACCGCTGTCCTCACCCATGACCAGGAGATACCTGCGCCCAGGGGACAGACACTGCTAACACAAACCAGCGATGTCCTAAATTCATTTGCTCCATTTACCCTGAAACACCAAGTCTCGAACAGAAGCAGCCAAAGCACGAAGCACCATTCCCAGCGGGAATTGCCCCAAAGCCAACATCCCCCTCCCGCCTCTGTCCCCCAGCCTGGCCGTGTC